AGTCAGACTAACCCAACTGGTAACTCAACTGCAAGGGTTAGTTTTTTTTTTTAAAGAACCTCACATTAGGGAAGGGTCGGGTTTTGTTAATGTTGCACTGGTTGAGATTTCCTTCATTTTCTGTCCTGCTGACAGGAAGTTTTGATTGAGATTTGCTTTAAAGCCCCAATAAGTACAGATACTTGCGTTGTTTCTTGGCTCCCTCCTCTCTAGACATGTGCGATTCATTTCGGAAAGATTCGTTATTTGGATGAATGTTCGGAGATTTGCATATATCCGAATGACAGAAATGACGAATAAAAACAACCCCGAGTTTCCGATAACGAAAATTTCGGAAGAAATTTGTTAGCGGTAGTCTGTACAAAATTTTGTTTCTGGACGAATATTCGTTGCAGCAAAGTGGCATTAGACAAAAGGGAAAAAAGCGTGTGGTTCCCCCCCAATTGTTACCAGAGGTCTGGTAGGTATGTTAGGAGGGCCCCCCCCAAGTTTAAAAAAAAGTATGTTGAGTTCTCCCCAAAAGCCATACTAGGCCCTTAGGAATTTTAAGGGGGACCTGATATAGCTTTTGGGGAGAAACCCACGCACTTTTTTTTTATTTTACTGGGGGGGTCCCTTCTAACATTCCTACCAGACCTAAAGGGTCTGGTATCAATTGGGGGGGAACCTCACGCTTTTTTTTTCTCTCTTCAGCAGGCTGTTAAAAAAAATGTCACTTTGCTGCAACGAATATTCATCCAGAAACGAAAGTTCGTACAGACTACCGCTAACGAATTTCTTCCGCATCCTGAAACGAATTGAGTTTTGGACCCTAATCCCGAAAAACGTAATCACGGAAAATCAGAATAAAAACAAAATGAAACAAATGTTGTGTGCCGGTGCACATGTCTACTCTTCTCCATGGCACTGGTCCCTTGAAGAAGCATCACTTTACTGCCTGGCCAGTTGCAGATCTCTGACACCATCATGTACACTGCAGGAAAAGCCAGTCCCCTGCCAGCAGCTGCATAGTGGGATCTTTGTTCTCTGTGGGAAAGCGGTGGTCTCTCTGCAGAGGTCTGACATGCCACCTGCTGCATCAGATGGCCCTAGCTCTGTTGCAGAAGGGGGCTTGTCGGACCTCTTCCAAGAGATCACTACTTCCCTACAGAGAGCAAGGGCCCCACTCTGTAGCATGCCAGCATGATGCACGGTTTTCTACTCAGGGCTTGGCTGTTCTTTTAGAGAGAACACAATTTAAGGCTTTGCATGCCTTTTTTGGATTTATATAGCTAATTTAAGCGGAAAGTTCAATTGGGTTTAAATAATTCAGATGGGAATAACTTAATTTGCATGTTCTAGGGGAACAACAGAACTCTACAGTATAATAAAAATGTCATAAGAATAAATGGAGGCACTGACTGTTAGTTGAGCCATTCAGAGGTGTGATTTATTTTTTGGTCCCCAGTTTGTCATATCTGTAACGCACTGAATTGAAGGACACATCCTTTCCCACAATAAGAGCAAAGTTGGGGTCCCAGAGGAAGGGCACAGTAACACTCTGGGTCAAAGCAATTAAGCATCACCGGTCTTCAGAATCTTAGCATCATTTTCCCAGTTGTGACTGGGAACAAGTCACAAGACAGTCCGAGGAGCAGAGTTCATTTGAGTTCTCAGACGTTTGTCGTCCTTCGTCCAGGTTAGGGGGTGGGGATGAAGGACAGCAGCTCGAGAACAGATGGGAGAGCAATGGCCTGTCCACCCCTCCAGGCTGAACCAGGAGCTCATGAGAACATTCGATGACCAGGTGGTGCCAGCCCCCCTGACCAGCTGCAACTCAGGATCCATCTGACAGGCCGAGGCAAGGAAGAGGCATTGTCGCACAGCACTTTGCATCTCAATGCAGCCTGCTGCACTGCTACAGAGGAGCAAAATGAGCATTTTATTGTCTTTGAGTTCATTATCCGGGGCCGGCACAATAGAACAGAGGAAGGGCAGCTCTCTGGTGGCTGGTGGAGGGGACAGGGGGTGCTAAATGACTCTTTATCCTCCTGTTATTTTCACATTAACTCTGTATGTCGCTCACCTAACCCAGTAGCTTCCCTTATTAACTTCCTTCGAAATTAAAAAATGTGGCCAAGTTCACGGAGAAATATTGGAGGGCTGTTTATGTCAGTCAGACGCAAGGAAACATCACTAAGATGAATAAACCTAGCCCTATTGGTGAAATGAAATTGCATAATTGTAGGTACAAGCTACAATTAGTCCACAATCACACAAAACCATCAATAAGTTCAGTTGAAGGAAGCATTTGTAGCTATACGCACAGTTGCCAGCTGTCCCTGACTTCCAAGGGCAGTCCGAGATGTCCATGGAAAACATTATCCTTGGAAATGTATCTGATTCTTAAAAGCATCTGCTCTATAAAATACAGATTCTTTAATGTTACTGCCGCCCTTCTCATATGATCATCCAAGCTTTTTTACACTTAATATTTACAGTTATATAAAATGTCAAAAATATTTATTTAAGTCATTTATTCTTATTCATAATAAAAAAATCTTTAAAGGGAAGTTGGAGACATATTTGGGTCCGGTGATCTCATGGGAAGTTGCACACCCTGTAGTTACGCTTGAGTTCGCCATGATGGCATTGTAGCACACCCTTCATCTCCAAGACGGTACCATTGGTTCGCTGCTTCAATGGCAAAGTACTAGCTGATGTGGCAGCGGGGTGCTCTTAGATAGCAAATCACAAAAACGATTCTTCCATTTAAAGCCACTCGGCCAGCATTAAGCTACGAAGAGACAGAAGAGAAGTACTCTTATACTCCCCAGCGGTAATATTATCATTGCAGTGTTTGCCTTCAGAAAAGCCCCGCGAGCCTAGAACCATCAACCCGGAGAGGCATTTAATTATTGAGCTGATAATTGTCATGGAACGCTGCATATCGCCTCTCCACAGCTTGTAATTGATAAACAGAGTCCTGCAGCTGGCGCTCCTATATATTCTGATTAAGAACAAGGTACATACCCCCTCAATGTCCCCCCCCAGCTTTGATCCCATTTCTGAGACAGGACACCTCATCTACAGGAGTCTCAGCTGCATCTTGCATCATGACGGCCAGGATTCGCTCTCTCTGGAGGATTACAAATGTTTCCTGCCAGCCCTGTGAGGGTTAACGTCTGTTCGCCAGCTACTTAATGAGAAAACGACACACAGAGCAGATGAGGCACAAAGACAGTTTATTTATGACTATTTGGCACAAGACGCAGAGGTGAAGGTTGATCTGTGGCGACAATGCCGGTGGCAATGTTGCATTGTTCTCACCATAATATCCAATATAAAATGACTACCTCGACCGGGGGGACGCCAAGGGTATTGTGTGCTTAAATGTACTCACTTTGTTGCTTTATGCATAGTGTAAAGCTATCTAATTTTGAAGGGCTGCAAAAAAAAAGGTTTGCACAAAGGCGACCCTTGCTGCTGTTTTGCAGTCTGTTTGTTTCTTTCTGCTAAGATAGAGGCAGGAAAACTTCAGACAACTGAAGTGCATCAATAAAGTTACCGTGATGTGTCCTGGTATTATCCAAGAACCACCTGCACTCCTTACGGTCTTACAACCTCACACTATTAGTGGTGCTAGAGGTGATCGCGTGGATGGCGCCGTGCAAAATTCAAAGTCTTCGCAGTGGGTCACCAGCACACACAAATGGTATTATTCTTTACGATACAACGATATTTTTTTGGGTTGCTAATGTTGAATATGGATAAATCATTTATTTTTCGACCCCTTTTATGCGCTGGTGTGGTGGAAGTTGGGCTATTGTTTATGTATCAGGAGTCACCTGTGGACTTTTGAGGGCAATTATGGCGTACTGTAGTTTAGGAATCTTTCTGTACTCCTGTGGTACATAGCATTAACAGGAAAGTGCTTGTAAAGTAAATAGAGGGAATGGTAAATACATAACTTGATAAGTAAATGGAGGGAAGAAACAAGGAAATTTGCACCACAGGTAGATTCTGTGGCTGCCAGTTATCATTACTTGGAAAAGGGTTTTTAACCTGCCCAATGGACTTCTTCCCCAGACAGCCGCAGGTCAGCGGGACTAGGGCCTATGTCAGTGGGTTTTGGTTCACACAATGGTGTCAATAATAAACCCATCTCCAATGCAAGTGGATTACACAAAAAAAGCATCTTCAAGCCCAAAGCCTGTAAACACAGGTCCATACGAGTGAGGTCGGCTGGGTTGGGCACCTGTCGCCTCATCTCTTATCACCGACTTAACATTCATAAAAGCATTACGCAGGCCACAGGTTACATTGTTTATTTATTGAGGTCAAACAACTTAACCTGTAATGCAAAGTTTGAGTAACTTTTCATTGACAAATACTTTCCCCCGTTTTATCTCTTTTTATTGGTGAACCACTTGTCTCTTTATGTTTTGGAGCTCCAAGCTGAGTTCCTAAGCAGGAGCTGAGTTTCCGTGAACTCTGGATGGTTATTATAAACCATGCAATATGGATTATGTATTATTTGATGGTTTCCAACAAGTCTGAGACAGCCCGGGCCTTGGTTACACCAAGGCAGAAAAGTTGGGAGGGATTCTTTACAAATTTCTACGTTTTTACATGGAGGTGTTAAGGTTTGTTGAGTGGCCTGCAACATTTGCTAAACCTGCTTATGTTCCTCTACTTTTTAGAGGTGTCTTTTTTGTCCTCCAGCAAAAGTTTTAGTTACAGTTGTGGTATCATACAACTGAAACCTTTCAGGCTAAGATTTACCCTTGGAATGTCATTTTACTTCTAAGGCCCCAGTAAAGTATTGTAAGTGCCAACATAGAGTAGAAGCTACAGAGAGTAAAGTCTGCATCGTTGTTCAACCACTTCCATTATACTAAGCAGGATTAGTTGTGGAAGAGGAGTGTACGCTTAATTAAAGAGGACGCATCCATAACCAAAGAGTGCTAATACTAAATACTCTATATGTTTACTGCTAAATATATTTATTCTCTGTAGTGCTTTTTACTGTGCTTCCATGCAGAGGTATATATTTATGTATGTCTAGCTTCCTTGCAGTCATCTGTTCTTAGCTGGGACAGTTCGTATTGCAGAGATCGGCCGAATTGAAAAACCCATACACATTGACCATGGGGAACATGACAAGCGCCCCAATCATGGATCCCAACTGCACTACCGCTCCACACCACAGAAGGGCGCTGTGACTCTGGCTGCGTAGAATCACCCCAATCATGACTTTAACATAACTCAGCGTACCGATGAAGAGAACCCAAGAGATGACCTGAGGGGAGATCCAAAGAAACAGGTGTCAGTACATTTGTCGTTACTTACAATCATAATAATTTACCTCAAGCATGTCACACAGTATAGAGGAATGGGACCTACATGAACATAACTAGCAAATAGATCAAATGTTGCTTTTTTCACCCCTACATTGGCGTCACTTTGTAGAAGCATTACGCGTGCCCTATTTTCAATATGTGCCTTGTTTGCAAATATTAATGGCCATTTCCCCCGATGGAGGTTTGCTGAACATACATTATATTATTGATCTATGCGGTATTTCTGTAAATTTCACTACACGATCTTGGGTTTTTGCTATATTTGTAGATACCTTTGCCTTTGAGGTGTCAATTAAGAACAGCTAAATAGGAGACATACCAGGTGGGGGGAAAAAATCAGAGTTTCATGAAACTGAAGAATACTTTCATCAAGTTTTCCTAGAAATACCTCCCCAAAGGTATTATACTCACCCCCCACAATGTATTATACAGTACTTACCTGTGCAAAATTCTGCCAGTTCCACAATGTGCATCCCATGGGAAGCTGCACAGCCACCGCTGGATACTCACAAAGTCTTCTGCGGATGCCCAGACAAAACTATTCCCTTCTATTGAGAAGCCATCTTTTAGTTTTCTTTTTTAGGCTATTTTTACTTTACTTTCATCTTGTGATGCTGCAACACATTCTGTCCTACGACAACTACACTGACCCACCGTACTGTATCTATGAAGGAGTAGCATTGTCACCATAGGAAGTGTATTAGGTGTACAGGACAACCTCTCCTCTCCTCAGCTCCATAACATAAGGAGGGTGTTCTTTCTACATAGAGAATCGGTACCAATGTTACTGATAACGTTTCTCTGCCTGTGCCGCACTCTTTATCAGTTCAACAGATTTCTGACGGTATCAACAGGTAATTTTGCACGTACCAGATATAACAAAAGACTAAGGGGGTTATTCACAAAGGAGCCGAAGGATCCGGCTGATCCTTCGGCTCTCTTCATCCTTCGGTGATCTCATGGCTGGCTCCGCCCAGTTGTAATGGCAGATCAGCGTCCCCAAATGACCTGGGGACGCTGATCTGTCATTAAACAAAAACAATTGGGCTCCGCCCAATTGTTATTCATTGGCCCAGACCCGCTAGAAGACTCTAGCAGGTGCCGGCCAAAAGGAAAGAGTTGGGCGGAGTTAGCTGTCACTGCTAGCTCCGCCAAATAGGTTTGTTTGTTTGTTTTTTTTATCTTTATTTATTTTTTAAAATGTATTATTTATTTACATTTAAAAAATAGTTTTTAAACTTTTTTCACTATTTGCCATTCTGCTCGGTACCACAGAGCGGAGCGGCATTCGGCTATTTACTCACTCCTGTTCGGCCCCTATGTAAATAGGAGCAAACGGCAGCGAGTGAGCTGCCCGAGCTTCGGCTCAGCCGATCCAGATGTTGGATCGGCTGAGTCAATGTCCTTCTGCACTTTGGCTCAGCCGAACATGCAGAGCGTGTTCGGTTGACCGAAGTGCAGCCGATGTACGGCTGAAATCAGCCGTACTGAACCGAAGTGAATAGCCAAACGTTGTTCGGCTCACTTCACTTCGGCTGGGTTATTCACTCGGCAGCTTTGTGAATAACCTCCTAAATTGCATATTTAACAGATAAAAAGGTAGCAAATAAGTTATTGTTCTGGTTTACACTGTGTTCATCACACACAGAACAATACTGATTCCGCATGAGAGGAAATAATCAAAAGCGTGTAAAAGAAGAGAATGTGAATTGATGGTACATTGTGACGATCGTTTTATCCTTTTGGAAGCGTTATCTTGTTGATCAGACAAGGTGGTCACGAAGTATAAAGTTTGATTGAGAGTCTCAAAGCCATGGTACAGAAGCAGCTTTTGTAGAAGAGATTTGTAGCAGCTAGAAATCTTTTTGATTATTTTGTCTGGAGATTTGTAGCTGCCTACAATACACGTTTATGGAAGTACAAATCACTGGCGACTGAAGTAGCTAGCAAAGATGGCTTTTCCATAGCTAGCTGCAGAAAGGAAACCTATTCTGATAGACATATGGGGGGTGCCATCTCAGAAAATGACCTGGAAGTAAGTGGAGTTTGTAAAGTCAGGCCTGCATACGTCTTCTGGGTCAATAACTCAAAGTATTGCAACCAGTGACAGCTAGGCAATAGGAATTTTAAGGACGGGTCAGCAATGGCAGCCTAGGGATACCTATCAGAACCGGTTTCTATTATGATCGATATGCAGCATGTAAGGTAAGATCTTAGTGTTGTAGAACAGCTTGGATGAATGTTTTTGTCATTTTAAGTTGAGTTGCCCTATAGACAGGCATACCATGCCCAAATTTTAAATCATGAATGGTAAAGGGGGTGTACAATTTGTCCACAACTGGATGCCATGGCCCATTTGTTTCATGATCTTTGCTGAATTGAGTGATCAGATTTCCAGCAGAGACACCAATTGGCTGGTCCTCATAAATAATAACAAATAATGGGACCTAATGCCAGCATTTGGTCACTTTACCCATTTTCATATCATACCAAAGCAGCAACTTCGGCAGCAAAAGTATTTTATTCTGCCTGTTACATATTAAGAGGTTAAAGGCAAGAACTGGGTGGGAGGGGTTCTGGTTTAATAATAGGTGTGCTTTCAAGCCGCAAAGTCAGAAGTGGAAAGATAATGATTTTGAAGTTTCCCTTAGACCTATGCTGGCCATACTCTTATAGATTTTCTGCAGAGTTTCTGTGGTCAGATGGAAAAAGTGCAACAGATTCCTACACCTACGCTAAACTGTGTGGATAGAGCAATCTCTCGCTGGGCCAAGCTTCAGTATCTTGCTAGTCGGCCCCCGCTGGCTCTCAAAATACCTGAACAATGCCTGCATCCAATCAGATTTTTCAGGTATCTTGACAGCCAGAGGGGCCGACTAGCAAGATGCTGAAGCTTGGCCCAGCGAGAGATTCCTCCATCCACACAGTTTAGTGTAGATGGAGGAATTTGTTGCACTTTTTCCCATCTGACCATAGAACATATGCAGATAATCTAAAGGTGTATGGCCAGCTTTAGAAAACTAAATAAAGAAGGAATCATTGAATACCACATCAGTATGTTCCCGGGCAGACTCAGTGCGGTGTATGACCAAGTGCCCCTTTTTGGGACAGGTTCTCCTTAATATGGACTTACTGGGAGATAAAAACCCTGTGTGAGCAGCCATTGGCCAACTCACAGTCCATATATTTGTTTCTTCCTTGACCTAAGGCTTCTTCTTTGGAACTAGCAACAGTGCAGGAATCGGAGGAACCGCCAGTTTAACCTGAGACTTTTCACACAGGTGTCTTGCCGCATCATAAACTACTTCTAATAGACAGTAAAGTGATGGGCTTATGTTAGTCCTTTCTAGTATTACATTTACCCTTGGTCATAGGTGTAATCATTTCCTCACTGCTGGAAATTGAAGTAGCTCTAGTCTAGTGCTTATATTGAAAGAAAGCAGGTTCACAACACCACCTTGTGACAGCACAGAGCAGCTGCAACCCAACAAATGTAGACTAGCATTCATTAATCATTCTTCCAATTGTTTATAAGGAAAGTGCATGGGCTGCAGACTCAGAAACTAGTGAATAGCTGTATGTTTTCTGGGGAAATGTCCTGCTGCTTTGACTTGCTCCTGAGTTGCTTTCATTTAACTTGTAGGTTGGTCATGAGTTGCTTTGAGCGGGCTTTTGAATGCCTCTAGTAGGTTTTGCATTCAGCTTGACTTGCATGGGAAGATTAATTGTTTGTGCTTAAACATGTGCTTGTATACCAACTGACAGGGTTATTCAGTAAAGGGTGAAGAAGGAGAAGAATCTAGGACTACATAGCTGAACTGGAAAGTGAGCTGAATTGGAGAATGTTTCCAGATCAGCTATTTTGTCCTAGATTGCTCCCTTCTCCTGCCTTCTCCAAACTCTTCACCCTTTTCTGAATAACCCTGTTAGATTTTTCTGTGTTCAGGCAGATTGGTTTATGCCTGATGCCCTGGAATTCATCCCTGCTCTCTGCAGACAAAGAGAGAGAGAGAGAGAGAGAACGGCTTTGTGGTTTATCCCAGGGCAGCTGAAACAAACACTTCTGCTGGAGGATACAAGCATATGGCTGAATAACACTAAGGGCTAGTTCACACCAAGCGCGTTCCAGGAGCAGAGCAGTTACAGAACAGATGAAAACTGCGTCCAATGTATTCCAATGGTATTTTGTGCTCTAGTTCACAACACAGCGTTCAGTTCCAGAGCATGTAAAACGTGACCCGGTTTTACAAAAACGCGGCAAAACACAGTGCACTGCGTGTGCAGAAACTCATGCAGATCTAGTCCGCGTTTGGTGTGAACAAGCCCTAAACGAGGTAGAAGATAAAAGAAAACAATTTACTTCTTGCAAATTCATACAGTAAATAAGAGCTGTAACTTTTATGTTTACTTACAATAAGGGCTACACCCCAATTAGAGTTTTGTAGAATGGGGCATGGACTCATTAATGCCGTCATCATGTTGTAAGCCCCAAATCCTGTCCCAAGCACAGACCAGAACACCAAACAGAGGAGAGACCTGAAAGCCAGACCATGCAGACCATTTCAGGGTAATGTTAGTGAGCAGTACATCAAGTTTATCATCTACAAATAGAAAATGCAGTACAATCTAGAATAGTATAAAAAAGAAGAGAAGCTGCACTCTGGATTAAAAGCCGCATAGTACGGTAGTAGTACTTAGTAGTCCAGTGCAAGTCAAACCACCTAAACTTCACCCTCTAACACATTTTACTCACAATTAGCTTAGATTTGTTTAGGTAGCCCCTCACATTACATAGCGTGTATAACAGCTAATCATTTATAAACAACATTCCATCTTTATGTTAGTATGGAGTTTCTTTGACAGAAAAGGTTTGATTGGAGAAAAATGAAATGAGATTTGGCTGCCTAAACAGTCAATGACTGAATCAAGAGCTGGGGTTTTATCGTGAGATACCTCTTGTAAAATGCAATAGCATAAAGCAATCAAATTTTAGCTTTATAGCACTTTGTTGTAGCCCGGTTATCAACACCGGCATTGGTTTGCTGCTTGTTAATGTATATATTAAATATAGGTTCTTAAAACAACACTCACCTGCTAGGTAAGAACATGGCAATCAGACAAGCTAGAGGATTTGCCATGGAGCCCAGGGCTGCTGCCAGGTGGTATGCCAGATTACCATATGGCATGCATGAGTACGTCTGTATGGAAGGAAGGACTCCATTGGTGAGGGCATTCACCCATCCAGTGAGGAAGTATATGAGTGCATAATGGCCATACGAGTACACCACTTTATTTGTTTCTGGCTTTGGATTATTCACATTGCTGGTGCTGTCACCTGTCTTGCTTGCCTCCGAAGGCCCTGTGTCGCATGTTATATCTGTTGTTGAGTAGGAATTCAGGGTGTTTGTACTTTGAAGCAAAGCATTCTTGGAGTTTTCCTTCTGGGAAAGTCTACTTAGGAAGAAAAAAGCCACCAAACAGAAAACCATCATGATGAATAAAAGAAAAATGAAGACCTGAACAGAGAAGTTGGCCGGGAGATACTGAGTCTCTATGTAGTGGTCGGTTTGGCTGGCATTGAACCAGCCTTGTGTCACATTCTCAGTGTGTGTTGAATTGATACACTTTATCATTCCTACACCTTGGATCAAGGATAAAAGGCCTGGGATGAGCCCGCTAAGGCCCTCTCCGATAAAGTATGTAGTTATATACTTGGGTTGCAGTTGCATCATGAACGGCAGAAATGTTACCGAAGAAGTGCAATCCACTAAGGACAAGAAAAAGGTCAAGACCAGGAATCCTGTACTGTGCAACTGGCCTCCTATCCAGGTGGTTTCTTTCCAGAAAAATGCCAAAAGGAACAATGCCACGATTCCCAAACTGATTATGGTGTATATGGTCCAAACTTCCTTTAGCTTCCCAGGCTTCCACTTGTGCATTATGGTAACAAATAAAGGTCCAATGTTGGCCAACTGGATGAGAATGGTGAGGTAGGACGGTAAGTACCATCCTTCTGGCAGCTCATTGACGATGAGCGGAAGTTCAACCCATAGTCCATTGATGGCCACCCATGCACCAGTCCCAAAGATGCAAGCCAACAGGTGAAGAACCAAAGCCATCTTTGACCAGTATTCCTTGCCCAAGGCTCGTCAAAACATTTGTAGCAGTCGACAAGCTGCTTTTAGATTCAACAGCTCAGCGAAGATAACTTGATTATTGTGTCTCTTATTCTCAAAGGACCTCTCCTTAGAGTTCAAACAAACACCGATTGTCCAGCACCCGTTAAGATAGCACCCGGAAGACTTCTGTATCGCACTGTTTTGTTGAGCATGTAATTACCATCAGCATGTCTTTTTTCTTTGCTTTGTTAGCAGTTATCGAGAAGCAGAAGAACAATTTTCTTTTTACACTGATCCTGTGTCCTCGGTTTGTTTGCAGTTCTTACATTTCACATTTTCATACACCACTGTAGAAGGAAGATTATAAATATTAACCTTTTAATACCAGGACAAAGTATTTTAGATAACATCAGCCCCGGCAGCTCCAAAAAGGAAAGGGTCATGAATTCAAGTAAGGATCATGGGTGAGACACTTTACAAGTCAACAAGTTTGGGGTTGCAACAGAAAAATCTGTAGAACAGCCATGAATAAATACTGCACTCATTGTGTTCTAGCAGCTTCCTTTGGTATAAAAGGAAGGCCTGGGGGAATTAAATGACTTTTCAGATCCTAACATTTGTACAGAATGTGCTACATCTTATCTCTTCGTCTTTTACCAAAGTCCACTCTGCTATTAGCTACCTATATCTCTTCAATGTTTTATTTATGAATCACACGATGATCTTCATTGAAAACTCTTAAGAATTTCAGCATAATTTATAAAACACTAAAAGGTAATGTAAACCTGGCATTTTTCCATCTTGAATGGGGAGAAGCAATGGTTCATGTTAAGTGTGTTGTGGATTTCTATATATTAATCGATGGTAACCCTAAAATGTAAAATATTTTTACCTTAAAGCAAACCTGTGCTATCATAATGAAGACAATTCCCACACTTCTAGGTATGAAAGTGTGGCATGTAATTCACTCCATTTCACAGTGGTGGTGCTTGGCAATTGGCCCAGCAATGTCATAGGGTAGAGTCCTCAACCCTGTGTAAGCTCTGACTGGAACAACACAGCAACTATGAGCCTCTGGGTAGCGTTGCAAACACTTTTCCAAAACTGAAGCTGTTAATTTTTTCGCCTATACTTGGGGTCCACCATTGATTTGCAGAGAAACTGTAATGTGGTATTGTGCAATTCACATTCCTGGGGTGCTTTACTTAGAAGATTTATCCACGGCCTAGGCAAACACAGAAGGGCAGTACAGGTAGACCACAGAGACCAGACATAAGCTACAGGTTCTATCAGTGAATTTTAGACATCAGTTGTCACCTTACGTTACATTTTAAGTAATATAATAATGAGTAATATAAAATAACACAAAGAAACCCCCATCTTCACAACTTTCATTCAGTCAGTCAGTTTACTCTATGCTTTGTATTGGCTTTTAAACCACCGTCTCTAATCACAAACTTGCAATGTGGGAAGGAGCAGCAAAACACAAGCACTGTATAGCACTACAAAGCAGAACATAAAGTTCTAATGCAAAGTATCTAATGAGCAACTTTGGTTGTTAAAATATTACTATATATTGGGTACAGCATCTGCTTTATTCTAACCTCTTTAACTGAAAAATAAACATTGACAGGGTTTTTCACAAAAGGGTGAAGAGTTGGGAGAAGGCAGGAGAAGTGAGCAATCTAGGACAACATCGCTGAACTGGAAAGTGAGATGAATTGGAGAATTTTTCCAAATCAGCTATGTTGTCCTAGATTGTTCACTTCTCCTGTCTTCCCCAAACTCTTCACCCTTTAGTGAATAACCCTGTGAAAGGTTTATCCATTCCCTTCAAACATAGAAAATACATTTATTCCCCTTTTGCCGGGATAATGAGGTTTAGTAGCTGCACTTCTATCAGCTCCTCCTATATGCACACTAAACTCTACCTGACCTATGATCTCGATCATGCTGCTACTCTAAAACAAAGAATGAATTGTAAGGCGCTGTGGAACATAAAGACGGAAAATATGAAGCAATTCATTTCGAACTTGTGTACTCACGTTGATGAACTTTGTGAGAAAAACCATCACCCTTCGCCTGCATTTTATGATAGAAGATACCCAGAATCTATACCAGTACGCAGTTGTTCATGTGTGAACAGTTTGTGCTCGAGCAATCACTGCTATGGCAGTTTACAGCCCTTCCCACTAATACTCACTCACCTGGTTAATTTTTCCACAAGCCAATGTTTACTGTGTTCATGCCGACCCATTATTACGCAGTACCTCCTTTTTCGCCAGCTCTTAAAGGGCTCAGGCTCTTAATATTTGGCCTACTGTTTTTGTAAATCTCAGAAAAAGAAATTTTGTGCCAGGTTATTGTAAAATGAAAAGCTGCTGAAATCACAAAAAATACCACCATATATCATGTTTACCACTTTTCCTTGCCATGGAAGAGTAGCTATTATTGTGTTTAGGACCTGATACCCTTTAACATTGTTATGATTACAGGCCCCCAGTGGATTGCCCAGTATGTCCCAGTAGACCCTTACCAATATGACTTCAAATATGTCAACAGCACAGTTTTACTTCGCATATGTATATCGAGGAACACAAAAGCTGAAAAAAATTCATATAATTGTTATTTTTTTTTAATATACAAATGGAAAATCACAAATATGCAAGCTTGATATAACTATTGAGATTTTTTTCTCCTGTTTTTGTCCAATGAAAACATGGAATCCAGTTACCGTTACTGACAAGGTTACACATCACACCTAACCTTATAACCTTATACGCCACGAACATGTATACACCTCTGTAGTGTGTTCCCTCCCAGCATGATCTATTGGTGGAATCTAGACACCTTTGTAGTGTGTACACACCCAGCAGGTGTGTTGTGCAAAGCCCTGCATGAATTGCAAGGTGATGTTGTGTAAATTAGCTCTACGTTGTGTTGCTTGCGTTGATGAATGCAGGAATGTAAATGCATGAGCTAACCATTTTTGTCTAAACTGTGAAGCAGCATTATATATGCATCATGTGCATGATTTTTTTATATATGGCATTAGTGGGAAATATGCTTTTAGAGACTTGCATGCCGCTATTAGAGCGGCATGTAGCCTATGGCGCAGGCTACACGACGCGCACGTACGTAAATACATAAAAGCGCGCCATAACGGCGTGAAAATGTGACACGTTGCTCGTGTTTGGTTGATAAATACGTTTTGCTGTGTAAAAATGCACACGCACCTGGTGCGTGCGTGTGTTTAGGTTAGTAAATCACCCCTATCAAGTCGATTTCCCCATAATGTCAGGTCCATTTCTCCACCAAGTCAAGTCCATTTCTCCACCCTGTCAAGTCCATTTCTCCATCAAGTCAAGTTTATTTGTCCATCAAGTCCATTTCTCAACCAAGTCAAGTCCATTTCTCAACCAAGTCAAGTCCATTTCTCCATCAAGTCAAGTCCATTTCTCAACCAAGTCAACTCCATTTCTCCATCAGGTTAAGTCCATTTCTCCACCAAGTCAAGTCCATTTCTCAACCATGTCAAGTCCATTTCTCCATCAAGTCAAATCAATTTCTCAGTCAAGTCCAGTCCATTTCTCAGCCAAGTCCATGTCTCTGTCAAGTCCATTTCTCCATCAAGTCCCTTTCTCCATCAAGTGGAGTCCATTTCTCCATCAAGTCAAGTCCATTTCTCCATCAAGTCAAGTACATTTCTCCACCAACTTAAGCCCGTTTCTCCACCAACTTAAGCCCGTTTCTCCACCAACTTAAGCCCGTTTCTCCACCAACTTAAGCCCGTTTCCCCACCAAGTCAAGTCAATTTCCCCACCAATTCAAGTCCATTTCTCCACCAAGTCAAGTACATTTCCCCACCAAGTCAAGTCCATTTCTCCATCAAGTCAAGTCCATTTCTCCACCAAGTCAAGTCTATTTCTCCATCACGTCAAGTCTATTTCTCCATCACGTCAAGCCTATTTCTCCATCAAGTCAAGCCTATTTCTCCATCAAGTCAAATCAATTTCTCCTGTTTGATTCCAGTTCAGTAATATACAGTAGAAAAACCTGTTTAGTTGTATTATTTTTATTTCGGAGACCCAGTCCCATACCCCCATGAATGGGTTCCCATAGGGGTATGGAGAGCCCTGGATAAGAACCTGTGTCATGGATTGTTTTAAGGACAAACATTCTGACTTATAAGCAACAGGTAAACTTTTCTCAAACTATAGTGGACATCAGCGTGGAGGACTAAAATTCTCCATCAAAATTAAAGCTAAACCTCTGACAGATTAAAATAAAAGTTTAACTGTGTTATGTATAATTTGAAGGAATAATTCAGTTTATTTTTTGCATAGAATTGGTATAAGTACATGAACTCGTCTTGATGTTTGTCAAAGCCAGGAACACTTGGGACAGAAAAATATATTTCCTAAGCATTTTTGTTCATTTTACAGTGTGCTGGATACATGAACGTCGAGCAGCAGCAGGGGACGGTAATGAAGTTTTCAAGGTTTACTTCAGAGAGATTATACATAGTAAGCAATTTTTTTTACTATTATTAAGTGCTGTATCGAAAAGCAACCTAGGCATGATATTGCTTTACACAGGTATATGGATACATACTGTATATAGGTCTAGATCAGCCTTGTCAGTAGCCCCCACCCCCCTATAAACCCATGTAAAGCAGCACTCACACTACAGGAGGGAGCCAATCAAATAATTATCATGGGCATCATTGCAGGAAGAAAGAGCGCAGGGATCAGTTCATTGCTACGTTTTTATTTTCCAATCACTGGCTGGGGCAGGTTCTAGATCAAGCAGTATTGCTTGATTAACCCCTTCATGACCGAAACCTTTTTTATTTTTTTTACACCCATGTTATAATCCACATTTTGGGCCTGAAAATCACTTCAAACCCCCAAACATTATATATTTTCTGAAAGCCAAGATCCTATAGAATAAAATGGCGGCAGTTGCAAATTTTTATGTTGCCCGATATTAGCGCAACTTATTATCAAACCCAACATTTTTGTGCAAAAATGTACTTAAGT